ATATCCGATTTGAATGATTCAATAAACTTTCTGCTTCTATTAACGAAAAAATTGCCTTAGAAAAAAAAAATTAATTTTCAAAAAAAAAAATTTTAATGTCGAAAATAATTCGAATTTTAATTTTAATTCTAGCTGAAGTTTTTATATATTTTAAATAAATAATTGCAATTCAGTTTATATAATTCTTATAAATATTAAACAATGCCCATCATTTTAAATTCGATTAATTAAGTTTGAATATTTCATTACGGTACGGGGAGTTCCAGCAATTTGCCTTAAAGCACGATGCCATGCATCATTAGTTTTAGAAAAAATCGAAACCAGTTAAAACTAAGATTTTTCCAAAAAATATTATCCAAAAATCGGTTTTCTAGAATGTTGGTTTTTGTATAAAGTCTAATTGAATTCATATAAACGAAAGATATCAAAAGCTCCGAATATTATTATCCAGTCTTCTCCGGCCAAGAAAAATTTTGCTATATTTCAGAAACAATAGACAAACATTTGCAAGATATTTTAAAATGGTTTCGTGGTCGATTATTTTCGATACATAATATAGTGAAATACAATACTATTCTTTTACATTTCCATGTAAAACTCTAATTCGTTCATTAAGCACATCGATTATCGTTTTTCCTGATGAAAGCCCTCGTGATTACATTAATCCCGTTAATAGTATTCCACAGCCAAACGAGCTGCGATCATTTTTCACGGCCGAAATGCGATACTCAATTACGAGTTGATTCAATATTGTTTTAGCGTTTAATTCTTCCATCAGGTTTTATATTAAATCCTCTTGATCGCGATTCAAATTCAAATAACGACTCTTGTGTAATCTATCTACATGTCCAATATATTTGTATCGAGCGATACATTTAGGTTTAATTAAATAAATATTGGTAGATTAATAATAAATTTATTTAAATACTCCAAAGGTAATTAGTGATTCTAAGAATATTTTATTAGTTAGTCTGTTAAATTCAAGGATTTTAGATCTGAGAAAAAATAAATATTTAGATTTTTATCACATTACACCAAACTACACAAATCTACAATACTTTACTCTACACATTATATGTACTATCAATGCATTCACTAATATCTATTATATAAAAATAAGTCGGGTTTTCCTTCCTGACGATATAACTTCAGAACACACGAACCAATTTCGACGACTTTGCATTCGTTGGAAAGGTCTCGGGCCCCGTGAAATTTATAGCAAAGAAAATTGAAGAAAGATTTCAACTGAAAAGCGGATAACACTATTTTTTTTCACATAAAGCGTCATCTCTGATACTTAGCGTGTACTACAAACTAATATTTTTTGTTTGACTACTACTCATTTGTTTGACAGATACCCATTGTTTTCTGCTCAGTTAATTTCATGTGACAAACCGGCATTGTGTTCACTGTGAAATTGTGCAAAAATGTAAAAAAAAATAAGTTCCTAACATTTCAATTGGAAACCATCAAATCAATCACGCGTATTGTGCGAATTTTTATTCAATTTCAACAGCAGGCAATTTTTTCTTCATTTTTTAATCACCAAACAAAATGTTCAAACCATCTGGTGGTGAAACGGAGTTTGCCAGGTTTGCTAGTTTTATATAAAATAGTGCATTATTTACTCACTTTCACTAACAATATTCAGTGTTAAAAGACTTCAACAATCAACAATTCTTCAACTTTGCATCAAACTCTTCTTAATGTTAGATTAACAGTACAACGCGGCGTGCTATTGAAATGAAATCCATATAAAGATTGACTAAAAATCATAAGTCTTAAACGAAAATAATTCCGAACTTTTATTCAATTGTTGATAATCTGTAAAAAACAATATTCTGAAATTATTAATGCATAACAATCAAAAGATTGCGTTACAAAAAAAGCGGAATCGTTCTCAGAAATCTTGATTTACTTCACTCATGGTAGATATTTTTATAAGTTGTTAAATCTAGTTCTATTTTTAGTCGAACAATTTATCATTTATATAATAATGTGTTTATTATTTTGTTTAATTTGGTATGATTTCTAAATTAAACAATTTAAATAATTTATTTCGAGATATAATAAAAAATACAATTATTTTTCTGTTTTTTTTTTATTAAAATTGTATACATTATGCTATATGATTATTTTCTGCGGTGATAACATGAGTAATATCGTCTGATTTTTGTAAAACTCCAGCGATAGTTTCAGATTGTCTGAAGAGATTATCAGTTTTCGGATCCAGTCTTCTTAAAACATTCGATGAGGATTTGTTCCAATTCCAGAAAAATATATTTTGTTCGCGAACTTTCATATCATCACATAATACTTTAAAACTCTGAAAAGATAAAGTAATATCCATAAATATAAAACGTATCATATTAATTAGTAATAATATTTAAATTAAATTTTCATTATATAATATTTATTTTATATATAAACATAAATATATTATAGAATTTGGTAAAGAATGAATTCTCAGATATCTATTACATGTGCATGTAAATCAATTTACCATATTTAGCACGCATGACCAAAGAACTAAACCGTTTTGAAGCTGAAAGTAATTTTTTTAATATACTAAAATTATATACAAAAATACTTACCCTAGCTACTGTAGTGTCAATGCTATTAACATTTTCACCATTTATCACAACAATTAATTTATTATCAGTTCCACAACGTTCCAGGACGTAGGATCTGACATAATCAGAAGCTGAAAATACAAGACTCTGATCTGGTGTCACAATCAGAATTTCATGACCATCCACCTGAAAATTATAAATTCATCTATTATTTCTTCAAAATTACATATTATATTGATCTGGAATAATAAAACTTTAGATAAATGCAAACAAAAAAGATCTTTGCTAGAATGCGATTTTTTTATGAAAACACTTATACAATTATAAATTATTTTCAATAGCTTATAAGAATATTAGATAGTGATCATATTTCCTATATATTGAACAAAACATATTTACTATTCATTTCCTAATAAATAAATTAAACGAAGAAAAATAAAACAATCTAACTAGAAGTTATGAAAAGATTCTAATAAGATTCAAAAATATTGAATAGCAATTTTAATTACACTTGTGTCAAGTGATCCCAAGAATTTAGGGATATTATTTTCGAAATATAACATCAAACAAGTAATAGTATGCAAGTACGCACTCATTAAATGCTTTTCTACAAATTATATTATTTAAATTTTTCAATTCATGATACGGCATTTTTTAAATATCACTTTACAATATGAAATTGAATTTATTAAAACAAAATTTGCTCTGTATTTCACCTGTGCAAATTTCACATCGATATTTGGTCTGGCTGTAGAATATAGAATAAATAGCAAATTAAACGAAACACCAGCCAACATTCCATACTCCAGTCCAAAGAACAGACACACCAGCCAGGTAACAATAAATGGCAATATGTCTATTTCTGAAAATTCGTAAAAAAAACTTTTTACAACTCATATTAATATATTATACATACATCTTAGTTTATTAACCACAAGTGATAAAAAATTAGTATACCATGAGAAGTAATTAAAGAATAAAAAAAGAGTGCGCGTAAGGTTCACACGCTATTGAAGTAAAACTTAGTTGGTACTGTACAAGATGGCATTTAAGTAAAAATAAATACATCATATAACAATTTTGAATAATGTTTATTAGTAATATGGTAACACTCGTGATGCACACATTTATTAGTGTCGACCATTACACACACATTATTTACACATTTATATAATAATAAATTTTAAAATTATATATTTATCATAGCATTAAAAATTTGCATGGTTGTTATGATGTTTATTTTATAAATTTATCAAAGAAAATCTGACGAACAGACATAAAGACGAACATGTTGGTTGAGTTCTGGGACAACCCTGCACATGTATATTGTTAAAAGAATATAAATTGTATTTTTAAGTAAAATTTATTTTTGTTTTCTTAGTTCGACAATACCTGTTTTGAATTTAAATTAAATGTTGAGGTATGTCACGTCCTTTTTTATTTTCCATGAATAAAATAATATTTAAAGAGTTGTTATAAGGATAAAAATGCATTATATACAGTACCCGTATCAAAATTGTGCTAACGATTATCAGATAACAAGTATTTCTTATAAGATCCCTATATCATACTGGCGTGTGCCTAAATCTTAAATTCTATGTTGTACGCCTTTTAACTAACTATATAGTATGCCTAATACGCCTAAAACCCTATTACGTATGCCTTAACCTTAAATTCTATGTTGTACGCCTTTTAACTAATTATATCGTACGCCTAATACGCCCAATATTATTTCTTATCTTACACCTATAATTTTTCTTAAACTCTAATTTTTCCGAACCCTACCGAGAATCGAACCCGAGCCCTCTGCGTGGGAGGCAGCGATCTTAACCACTAGACCACCGTAATGCTGCGATTGGTCGCCTTTTTTCGCGTGTCGTCGCGTCACCTTAGTATTAATTACTTAATTAATAGGTAAAGGTACCGCGGAAAAACAATGCGTGCCTTAATATATTATTTGTGAGGGACCCAATAGAGTAGTGGTCGAGGCGATCCACCGCCACGCGGTGGTCCCGGGTTCAATTCCCGGTGTGGGCGATAGGCAATAGAGTATACGTTAGACAATATAATAGATAATATATAAGAGTTAAAAAATATTGTATAGGGTAGAGACAATAGATAATAGATAAGAGTAAAATATAGCGTGTAAATGGTAGTATGTAAGGTTTGTAAAGGGTAAAAAGATACGTAGTGTATGTCATATATAATAGGTTAATATCAAATAATGATGAAGCGGTAATAGATTTATATATAAATGTAGGAACTGATGGTTTTAGGTATCGTATGGTATAATTAGATAGGTAATAATCAGATTTAAGTCCATTAACGTATTGTAATAGGTCTTGAGTACTTTTATTCAAAAAAGAGTGCGCGTAAGGTTCATACGCGATTAAAGTAAAACTAATTTGCTACTGTACAAGATGGCATTTAATTAACATGGAATATAGCAATTTTAAATAATGTTTCTTAGTAATATGGTAACACTCGTGATGCACATATTTATTAGTGTCAATCATTATATACATTTATATAATGCGTTTAAGTATGGCTTTATACTTCAAATATGACATGATCGGTTTGTCATTGTAATTAGCATTTAGAAATGAACCTTCATTAGAGAAATGAAGTAATTGCTGATTAATAACTTCTATAATATTAGTTCACACAGTGGATTGTGTCAAACAACGCCTAAACAAATATTGTTTTCAAAATTTCACTCATCATCATATAATATTTGTATGTGAAGAACTTCAATAAAAATTAACTAACATTCGTTGAACAGGTGTAATGTCTGGTTGCCTAAAAAATATTTTCCATTTTAATGACTTCAAAGATTTATAGAAACTACGAATAATATAGAAATAATTTACAATCAATAAACTTACGTTTAGTACAAATGTTTAATTTGTTTTATTATTTTCAAGGAACAGGGTAAAATAATCTTCTGATTCAGGCATTTTTCATTAAATCAAGATTTTTACTACGATGTAATTTTAAAATGTTTATTCATCTATCTATGTCGATTTCCTTGTTGATATCGGTACGCATACAACGACGTTGTATGCCGGTACGCATACAACGACAGATCTCTATTCACATACGCGACAAATCACAATCGACTCGTACAGAAATGATATCATCGAGAGCGAAGGACGAATCATTGGCACTCGACTCTTATCTTATCTGACGTAACACACTTCCGTTGCATTTGTACGGATTTACACCCTAGTTGCGCCTAAAGAAGTTTGACTTCGAAAAGCACATGTAAGTTATAATAATGAAGTTTAAGCAGTTCTTTTTTTTTAATATTTCATACTCACTTCTAGTTCTCCAAATGAGTTTGACATGATCAATTTCTAACATGAAGAACATTGCACACAGGATAACTGCAGCCAATGTTGCTTTTGGAATGTAATAGAATGTAGATGTCAAAACACTTAAGGCGATGAGAATGAGAGCTCCTGCAAATAATAACGGTTCATTAGGTTATTAATCAGTGAAGAATTTTTATTATTTTTATTCCTCCAATGTTTAATCACGGGACGGAAAGTTCTAGCAATTTAACTTAAGGTACAATGCATTGCACAATCGTTATTTAATAAATTTTCATTTAAATTTACCAGTAAATGCTCCACCAAAAGTAGTTTCTACCCCACTGGCATTATTGACAGCCGTCCTGGTGAATGATCCAGTAGTCGGCATTGACAAGAAGAATGACCCCAAAACATTGCAAGTGCCCAGGGCTAACATTTCTTGTGTCGCGTCCACTGCTCGTCCCTTTGCTGAAAAAGGAATATATATATATATATATATATATATATATATCTTTTGTATGAAAATGGAGCTTTCGATCAATTGATTCGGTAAAACTCGAAAACCGCTAAACCGATTTGGCCAGTCTGAGTCTTGAAAAATACGTGCCAATCCAGAGATGGTCGGAAAGGTGAGATATTATTTCAAAATCGCATAGAAATTTTACATTTTTAATTTGAAAACTTTTGTAGAAGCGTAATTTAAATGAAATAATCGACGGTGGCTAATACGTGAAATGTCAAACGTTTTTGACAGATGATGTTCAATTACATTTAATAGGATGTTTTACATGAATATTATTTAATTATGATCAAATTGTAGTAAATAGTTTTGTTTGTAGTTTTATTAATATACAAAAGCGTTATTAAACGGGCCGCAAGTGTTGATAGAAACTCAAAATATCAACTTTTTTGAAATGCTAATAGGAAAATGCACTTTTTGTCATATTTTTCTCAAACACGGTGCTCTGAAAGATTTCATTTGTATTATTATATACTCATTGGTATTTATATAACATTTTCTAGGTTATATTAATTTTTATTTATGTTATTTAAAATCAGAACCTTTAGTATCGATCAAATAGACATTTTGTCGAATAACATTTTCCCAGTTATAATTTCCCAGAATTTATCAAAGAATAGATAGTAATATATGAAGGTCCGGGGTTAAAAAGGTCCACCGCCGATGTGTCAAAAATAAGCATTGCTTAACAACAATAATATTCGGAAGTAGAGGAAAAAAGATGTATAACCAGCTATAACCTTGATTCTTATGACTTTGTTATCGGGAGATAAACGGTAGTCTTTGAAAATTCATAATAAAAGTATTGTCTTCCGTTCACCTGGCTGTTCCAAGTTACCCTGCCAATAGAGTAAAAAGGTCTAGATAACAAATTTTTGAAAGGCATCAAAAAAGCACATTTTTACAATGATGAAGTAGCTGGCAGTTTTACTGAACGTAGTCAGATAATTGTTCGATTGAAATGTATTATTTGTTGTGATATAATTGGTTTGGTTCTCATAATATAATTTAGAATTGCTCAAACTCAAATTGGACCTTTGTGCCTCGCCCTGCTCTACATATATACTTTTTATTAAATTTACTTTAATTCGTCGAATGTTACTTGAAACTTTTCAAAACGAAGGTCAAAGAAGAAATACTTAATTCATTTTCTATCTCTACTCGCAAAAGTTTGAAAATATTTTATAAACTCAGTAGTATTATTTAGAATTATATACAAAATCCAGAATCAAAAAAGAATCTGAAAAACTTGAAACGTAATCAATAAGCCGAAAGGCCAAAAAGACTTGGATTGGATTATACCGTGTTTTCTATAGAAAGTGTATAAATCTTCCAGTTTGATTGTATTGACAAAATATAGACAAACTAATGGGGTTTTTTGTTTTTATAACACCTCATTGAATATAGCATTCAAAGAACACATCCTTATACACTTAAAGTATTAATATTTTTGATTCTCTAGAAATTGTTTAGAATATACCGTACTTATATTAGCAAAACATCGTTTGTCGGGTCAGCTAGTATATATATATATATATATAATATATATATATATATAAATAAATATATATATATATATATATATTTATGTGGGTGTGCGTGCCTGTTGTGCATGTTTACGGAAACATGTTCGTAATTAAACCCTGCAGTTCTCGTATCAAATCATAAATGCCCCTAAATAGTTCCAGCCGTAAACTATTAACGTAACGAAATCAATTTACGTGTTTAACTGAAATTTATTAAAATAAATCGAAAAGCTATAAAGCGGTGATATAACATTGTGTAAATTGCACGAATATTCTATTTGAATTAAATCGATTATTCATAATTTACATATAATGTATGCTTGTTAGTTGATCATTATATATTCTGTATGATCACGCTTAATATGTATTATATAACATGATATAAATATTTAAATATAATTATCTAGTTTTACTTACAAAAAGCTTTAGCTATGGCAATACTTTCTAAAATTGAAACCAATGGTAAGGCGGCGACTGAACCACCAAGATGTTGCACCATTTCCATAAATCCGATGGTCTGATTGTTGACAACTGTGGATAGTGGTGGAGGTCTAAATGGTGGCAACCCTTCACCTACTTTTCCTGGAAAATAAATAACACTTGAAAAATCTATTTTTAAAATTAAGTCAGAAAAAGAATTCCGTTGCCCTGCATAAGATTATTATTTTTGGGACAGTTTCAACAACAAGATATACGAACCTGTTAGTTTAAATGGTGTCATATCATTTATGCTGAATAAATATGCCAATAAAGTTCCTCCTATTACTGCAATAGCATTGCGTCCCAATGAGAATCCTCGTGCTACTTTGGACCATCTGCCTTTCACATCTTTTAATTTCTGGTAAAAAAAAAAACAAATCAATATTCATATTTAACAGATAAAAATAAAATTGATCATGTTTGCAATAGTACGATACAGTAGTTATTATTCCATCTATGTATGACTTACCCTTAATAGTAATAATATTATAATAGTAGAAAATCCTAGTAGTGCATCCCACAATTGTGTGTGCGAAATATTTTTAATCACATTTCCTACGGCTTCAACAAATGAATTCCCACTACCTGAAAGCAAATCATTTGAACTGAAATTTAATTTGAAATCATTTAATGGAATGAACTGATTTAACGCTTTAAAACGCAATTTAAAAGCTCTTTGTAATTAATCTATAATTTAGTACACAATAATTTTATAATGTAGTTTAATACTTATAAGGGTTCATTCTGCTTTAGTAAATAATCAATTAATGATAAAATTAGAACACAATAAAATAATTTGAAATAAATTATTTTGTTTCTGTGTAAAATGGTTAATTATTTAACTATAATATTATTTAAAAAAACATGCTGGTTGAAGATGATTTACCTGGCAAACCCAACAGCGATTTAAATTGACTAGAAGCTATTGTTATTGCTGCAGCAGATGTAAATCCCGCTGTCACAGGCATTGAAATGAATTCTACTAAAAATCCTGAAAATATAGCACAATTATAATTAGAACGTCAATGAAATCAGTATCAGGATCCTCATTTTACACATGTATAATTTTAAAAATAGGTGATAAAACTATTGATTTGATAATAGTAAACTTTTGTACAAAATTTTTTATTTAAAAGTACAGTAGTAATGAACAAAATAATAATAGTGTATCAAATTTTGTATAGGAATTTATAATTAAAGGTATAGTAGTAATGAACAAAATATTAACGGTGTATCAAATTGCAATTTAGTATATGTATTTTTTATCTTCCTCAAACATTTTCACTTACCTAAATGTAAAAGTCCTAAAGCTAAAATAACCAAGCCACCCAAAAAAGTGGACAGAATTGCAAAATCAGGCCCCAGATCTTGTACATAGCGTTGCACCATGAGAGCCATTATGGCCGTGGGGCCTATTGTCACATCTTTGCATCCTCCTAGGAATATGTACACGAAACATCCCATGAAACCAGCATATAAACCATACTGTAATAATAAATAATAAAAAATATTTTAAAAAAATTGGAAAATATATAGTATTTTTGGTTCATGCAGTCAGATTAATTCAATCAAATAAACACCTACTAATAATAAAATCTATCAAAAAAAACTTAATGGGTTGCCAACAAACAATAAGATGCAAACTATTAAGTTTTGATTGCTGTTCCAAAATGAGAATAAAATAAATTGAAGTCACATCTACTTTACATTTCTTATTCATATTATATGTTTGAAAAGTTATTGATTATAATTAAATGTAATTATTGAGACATGCTAATCATCAGTCATGCGTATTTATAATGCAACAAAAAATATTAGTTATTCATCAAACTTTAGTGATCAAGTATAAAAAGTATTGTGAAAAGTTGTAAATTTGAAATTTATACAAAAATAATAATATTATATTTATGATAAAACAAAAACTTTCATTTTTTATGATAATGTAGGTATATTATTTTCAAAATGTAGAAAGTTTAGTCATTTTCGACTTCACGTTTCAAGATATATATGGAAATGTAAACTTTTAGAATTTATATAATTTCATAAATTTATTAATAAATTTACCTGAGGTTCTAGTCCTGCAACTACAGCATATGCAATACCTTGTGGTATTGCTGTCAAACCTACTGTCAAACCTACAAAAACCATAAAGAGTTATTTATTTAAATAAATATTTGACATTGATAATGAGTTGAAAAATCTATTAACTATTTTATAACCAATGAATATGCTAATGACTTAATATACATTCAAATATAAGGCATACAATTAGTAATAAAAAATAAAGTAATATCATAACAGTGATATTGAAAAGATTACATCCACGTTATCAATAAAGTTTATATTAAATTATATAGGTAATATTCACCTGCAATGGCATCTCTGCCTAATTTTTCCCAGGTGTATTTCGGTAACCAATTTACTATAGGCAGATGCCTTTCTAAGGTTTTTCTGGTGCAACAAGCACTAGCACAGTCTTTGGCATGAGAGCGAAATGTTGGTCTGTGGACCTGCTCTCCCGTCCCTAAAAATAATATAATTTATTAGTTATAATCAACAGTAATCAAATCATTATTGTCTGATAAAAGTTTTGTTGTATGAAAATACAAACATAATAATAAATCACATTGTTGAAAAATAAAATATATTACCTTCCAATACCAATAATTTCTAAACTTTATTAAATTTACAATATTCACGATTTATACTAACTTCTAATTATTAACTATGCATCTAAACCTAATAATATGAATAGATAGATTTGTACTAATCAAAAAAATAACAAAGTGGAGATGTATCAACTCTATTACTTCGTGTCATTCAAAATCAAAATTTTTTTAAGTAACTTATACAAGCATCATTACTATTATCCTTGTATATCCATACATTTATGAAACCACTAAAATAATTTAATATTTACAAACTGATAATTATAGATATTTGTTTATGTCTTATTAGTAAAGAAACAGCATTACCAAGTAATGAATTAATTACAACATAAATTCATATCTCAATCTGTGAAAAATTACTAATTACTACTACACTTATATTGTTAAATTACAACACTAGAGTGGTTTAAATATATGCAAATTAAGAAAAATATATTGAATATTAAAAAAACTCATATAAAATAGAATCTTATTAATAGTAAATTTATGGATCAGGTTTATTGCAAAACATCAATTACATGTTAAAAGTCACGTCAGTATCGATGACTATAATAATCTCGCAAAATAAAATTAAGGTTTATTACATATTATAAAGCATCAACTTATATGTCAATGTATTTGATTTGATTGATGTATTTGATTTGATTATTTCCTATAAAAAACGCTGATGAAATAATTAATAAAATAATTAAATATAACCATTTTTAAGTTATTGTGTGTAGTTTTCTAATTTCAATTTTATGTAATTATTAATATTATTTTTTTTCTGTAGGGCTATTTATGTATGTATAATAAAAAAATAACATTTGTACAAAGTAAAGATAACGTGCGCACGACCGTAGTGCCGAAATGTCGCAATATTAAATAATACGTATTCAGCCAAACGATTTCAAATATAATTAATTTATTTGATTTGATCAAATATGATATATATATATATATATATATATATATATATATATATATATATATATATGTTAAAGAAGTTAGTTTTGATGTTGAAAAATATGAGTAAGTTCTTCAAGGGCAATACATCAAATAAAAAGCAAAGATTTAGAAGTTAATCTTTAATTTTTTCAAAACGTTTCGACATAGAATTTTATGCCGTCATCAGTGGACCTACAGAATGAACATTGAAAAATTAATATAAACTAGGAAAAAATGACAGAAATTGGAAAAAGAACTATAGATACTATCGAAACTACTACTAACTATAGAACTATAGAATCTATCTGTAGTTCTTTTTCCAATTTCGGTCATTTTTTCCTAGTTTATAATAATTTTTCAATGTTCATTCTGTAGATCCACTGATGATGACATAAAATCCTATGTCGAAACGTTTGGAAAAAATTAAAGATTAACTTCTAAATCTTTGCCTTTTATTTTATGTATTGCCTTTGAAGAACTTACTCATATATATATATATATATATATATATATATATATATATATATATATATATATATATTATTTGAGTTTAAAAGTCGGGCGTTGCATCAATAAAGATAGTATGAAAGTTTTTAGAAATTTATTTAAATTCCATACGTTTCAATACCAAACAATTCAAGACTATGTTAACCGAGCATATCGATAATTTAAATCATAATATCGATTTTTCCAACCCAAAAATTTTACATTTTGAAAAAAACGTAATTAAAAGAAGATTCGTTGAGGGGTTATTTTGCAATTGCATAATGACAGGGTCATGAAAAAACGATTTGACAACACGGCTCCGAACGAAACAAACACGTGGTTCCTAAATAGCGTGTCGAAATTTCTTAAAAAATGAAATGATTCCATCGCTTTTTAAATTCGAAAGAAAACAGAAAAATTCACAAATATTTATCATTTAAAAAATTAAGTCTTGTTATATATTGTTGTATTCATAAGCTTTGACTAATTAATTATGTCGCGCTGTGTTACATAATTAATAGACAAATAACAAATAGACAAAAAATCAAATTACTATTTAATTTACTTTTCTCACAGCTAACTAGTAAATTAACAAACTTATTGCTGTTACAAAAAAAAGAGACACAGCCGTACCCAGTCTCCCCTACTGTATATTGTCTCATCAAGTTTGCCATACGTTATCAATTTTTTAAGTCGTAGATTTGATAAAAATCAAAACTTATACATTTTAGTTTCATTTTGCAAATACATATATAAAAATAAATATTGATCATGGTGTAATCACTCTGTAATTCCTATGTCAATATCAATATTTGGCAAAGCTATTAACAGAACGATGCCATAAACCTTCAAAATATATTCAAAAATTATTCATTTTTATGGTGTAAAGTTATTATCACAACTATAAGTGATCAATCGATTGGCTTAAATGAAATTACAAAGTACTTGTACAGATTGTAATCATCGAATAATTTAATCTTAATTAGTTAAACAAAGCATATAAATTTTTGTTAATTGAAAAATCTGTAAATGACTTTTATATCTGTAAAGATATCGCGATTATATAATTAATGAAATTCCATAATTGATAAAAAGATTGTATGATTAGAAATATTTGTAAAAACCAGTTTGTTCCATATTTTTCTCATTAAAAGCTACATCTGAATCTTCCAGTATTATATTTGTCTCAGTCAGACAGAATATGATATAAGATTAAGTTATATGCAATACTCAAATATCGACATAATTTTTTATCATTTTTAGAATTATTTTTAATTTTTAATCGATCACTTTGTTTATCACAAAATCATATTATTTTATAAAAATAAATTAATTTATTGTAAACAAATGCGCCTTCAATATTTTGACTGACTTTCTCTATTCCCTGCAGCAATAACCTACTCTATGAATATGTGACAATGATATTTACGATAGTCTCTCTATTAACAGAATCATAAATTACCTTGTTTAATTAAATACATAATTAATTTGCAACGAAATCAATTCAACCATTAATCAAATAAGCGAATAACTTGCACTCGCGTTCTGCAGAATTTGTGTCATATCCATTTATTATTATATGATAGTAAATAGAGACTTTAATAAATGCATATAGTGAATATATAGAGGTGTTGTATAGAATATTTTTAGTAGATGTTATAAAATTAATCATTAACAAAAAATGTAAACCTTAAGATCATGCTCATGTATTTCAACACACAATTGAAATTGTTACATTGAGAAGAAAATTAGTTTTCTCAAGAAAAATGCAGTTCTTGAAATAGAAAAAATTTATATTTTTTTAGATGTATGTATGTATATATATATATATATATATATATATATATATATATATATATATATAAGATCAGTCAATTCCAGTCAATATTGACTTAATCGGATAATCCAATATTTAATGTATTGATCTTAGCAACGCATCGAATTACTCCGCAATTGTGATATACATTATCATGGCATTATACAGCATTTATGATAATTAGTCATTATCTAAATCAACAAAATAATCACAAACTCAATATCTGAAATTTGAAAAAAATTGACACACACCAATTTGATTTATCGTTTTAGTAATCTTGGTGTCTAGCTTCGCAAAAATTTTAGTTCTTAATTCAATTTTAATTATTATATTAAAATAACAATTGAAAATTTCGTATTGACTTATAAAGGAAGTAGAATTCGATAGGAGTTATATAAATAACGATATTTATCCGTAAAGTGCATAATATCCTTTTCAATTTTGCATGTTTCAATTAAGTTGTTATAAAATTATAATAATGTACAAATAATAATAGCGATTATAAACACGCACTATCGATTATATTAACATTCATTATATTGAAAAAAGCGCAATTCATAAAAGTACTTATTTAAATAAAGAATGCAAAACATAAACGCAAATAATATAAAATAATTCCACCTGAAGTATCTGATATTTTTGCTAGTAACACGTAAATTTGTAGATAATCTTATCTGCTGATAAAATTCTTTTGGAACGTGGGCATGATTCATGATTATAGAAAAGTATAAATGTTATATGGTAATGTACATTCTTTTCTGTCAAAATATCAAAAAAAAATTACCTATCCTACTGTTAGCTTTAAGGTGAAAAAATTATTAATAAAATTTATCGAATAAAATGTTTAAATTTTATCCAGGCAAAATTTTGAATAAAGTAACAAATACAGTAATGGAGAAAACCAGGTTATAACTTAAACTAAGTAGCACATGGCACCACTGTATAAGGAAATGAACTGAATCAGTAAATCTGTTTTAATTGTTTTAACAAACCCAAATGATTTCCTACTTGTGAACCAAATGCATTTAATTACTTAATTTTAGTACATTCAATAAAACTGTTAATTATTTTTTTTTGCATTTTACATTATTTGTATGTATGTCTTACTTTTATTTTAAAAAATTGAATACAATTTAATCATATTGTATTAAAAAACTGTGTCACGGTTGCGGTCTTACTGATTTACTATTCATGAACAATTTAGTTAATATAACTACATATTTTGAAAATGAGGGCAAAGTAAATTCAACGCAAAATAATTATTTTGTGGTTTAATAGTATACAAATCGTTTTGTAATAATAAAAATGCTGATGTTGTTTTCATTAAACCTATATCGTCAAAAATTTACATTCTGAACAAATATCATTAATATGTTGTACCATTTCTTAATTTTTTTCTTTCAAGTTATGGGTTAAAGATAGAATAAGTTTTATATATCAATTTTAATTTTATTTATATTTGCTTGGATACACAACAACAACAAATAAATCCTTTTTGATATGAAACAATCAAATGATAAAATTGCAGATGACAAGTTGCGAAATCTAGTCTACATATGTCAAGAGATGAAATCAGATTAGATGATAAAATAATAATTCTGAATATATTAGATTATCATCAATTTTATTCAAATAAATAAGTCAGTTTATAATATTTTTTTGTAATAATTATTCATTACAATTATGATTATAATATACTTTACTAGTCTTTGAGACTAAACAAAGGTGTGAAAAAAAATGTAATATAAAACAAGCACAAATATATGTAAAATCAATTCAAGTAAGTCATTATTCATCAAAGGTGCCACAGTCAATATTTGCTCATTAAGGGCTAGATATAAGGCAATGTAGGCATATAAGGTTATGTATTGCTATATCATATATTACTATATTTGTATTATCATAATATATGTGTTATTAAAATTGTATTTTCAAATCCTCCTGGTGCTACTCTGTGGGCTATATGATAAACAAATTAATAAATAAATAATGTCTTTTTATTTTAATGGGCAGGATAATTTCAGACTTTATTAGGTGATTTAAATTGTGTTATATTATCATGTCTATTTTCTGAATTTTGATGAATGTTATACATTCGTTGCATAAAATTTATTTATTCAAAATTAAAATTCCCAAATATAGAGTCATTTATATGATTAGAATATAAATAATAATTTTTAGACGTATATAATTTATTGTTTACGATGAAACAGTAATTCATGATATTAAGTAATTTGATGATTTATGATATTTTAAATCTGAATTATGTGGAATTTTATACACTCTTTGCACAAAATTTATTTATCCAACTTCATAATTACCAAATATATAGTATCATTTATGTGATTAATAATAATTTTAAGACGTATATAATTATCGTTTACGATTAAACAGTCATTCATAATATTAAGTAATTTGTCTAAATTTGTCACGTTTTCCCACTTGCATTAAGTGTTGTACTTGTGTTCATAATTAAAAAAAAAACGTTGGGATGGCATTTACAATATATGGTTTGTAAGATCAAAATTAAACGCAGACTAAGTAATCCCAGTCTATGATAATGAAAAATCGATTATTTTATCAGGCACACATCAAAACAAGCACCAGTCTTGTTTATTAAATTGTTAAAAAAAACTTACGACTCAGAAGACTGTCGGAAAAGTCCGCTTTCTCTGCCGTCATCGCCAATCAGCAAATATTAACATATACTATTTATTTAATAAACTAATCAGTTTTTTGTTTTCGTCAAAGCAAATAGAATATTCTCACGAAACCATTGATAAATCACATCGATAATAAAGTTTTTCCAGCGATATCGAGCCGCTGGCAATCGCGCTCGCACTAAACCCCAAACATTTTAGTTTGTAATGAAATCTGCCGTTCGTACTTCTGCTGGTTTCGATAAATTGTGACATCAGATTGACTGTCTTATCACGCATGACAGATCACATAATGAGAATTATCACATATCGATAAAAAATACATTGAAAATGATAGCCAAAGAGCTGGTGCAGCCGCACTTGGTCATGAAGGTAGAAATAGAGGAGACGAAATACTAACACGGTGTAGGTAAACTGTTTTGTTTTGGTCAAATTCAATAGGGTAGAGCGGGGCTAGTTGAGCATAGGGGCAAGTTGAGCAATCGAAATATCTCGAAAACTATTCACCGTCCGTTTAGGCATTATATGGCGGAAAGATAGAGGTTTGGGATAAATAAACATCCCGCGATCGCTAGTGGCCGCTGGACAAATGAGTGAGGCTCACCGGCGTTTTGTTTATTTTGAGACCAAAAAGTAAAAACGTAATTCATCACGAGTTTTCGTCTGGTTTAGTCAAATGTTATTTATTTTTAATCAGGTAAATGTTATTCTTCAATATAATCATAGTACTTTTAATATGCACAGAGATTCTGGCTATAATTCTCACGGTTTTTTTATAAACTCACTTTTATTTTGAAATTCCGAGTTGGGGTTAGTTGAGCATAGTTGCTAAACTTGTTCTGTCACTAAGACAATTATCATTAACTTCCAGAAATTGATTATTATTTTTAAGATTTAAGCTAAGTCTATGAGTAATAATATAAAGAAATAATGATTTTGAACAAAAATACTGAATATAATGCTAAAATAATTACTAAGATACGATATTGTTCTGTTGATTCTACTTTTCGTTAATTATTCAAAGCAAATTACTATAAGTTTTGTTTCTCTGTCAATAAAGATTATAAATATAGAACTGGTTATTAAAAACTTATTTTATTTCATCACTAATCGACATTGAATCTGTGATTTCATTATACTTTCTTAGTGCTCAACTTGCCTCACCTATGGGGTACATTGAGCATACTTGACTTTTTGCATTTAAACAGCTGTAGCTTTTAAATTTGACTTATTACCAAAAAATAGTATTAACACTTTTGTTAAGCGATAAACAACAAATCCATTAAGCCATATAGCAATTTATTGAGACTTTTCATTGAGGTGCTACATCCGTTTAAGTAAAAATTTGCTCAACTAGCCCCGCCCTACCCTAAGTCAAATCGTGATAGAAAATTACAGGAACTTAATTAAATCGATGTGCATTAAATTTGAAATTTTCTTCATAAGTCATTATAAAAATGTATTGATTTTTTAAAAAAAAATCAAATTTATGATACTGAACAAATATTATATATAGCAATTTCGTTTGTTTCGAAAATTTTTTGGAGATATATATATATATATATATATATATATATATATATATACATATTAGGGCGGGTCTATTTTATGATCACTTAGGCACATATGGTTTTCGGATACAAGGGTTCAAAATAAGATACTCCACTGAAAAAACCATACTTCTATAATAATTCTAATGTCCCGTGCATTGACTCACAGTTTTTTTTTTAATTTCAATAATTATTACAACTGTTACAATATCCGTAATATGATGATTTAATATACAATAATATATATTGACTCACAGATAAAGGTAAAATTTTGAAAAATCACTTAAGGAAGTCTCAGGGGCTAAACTACGGGCATGGGTAATTCGGCCTTTCAAAATAAGTGAGGGTCGGTCATACATTTGGACCCGATTGGGGCACTATAAATGGGTCAAAATAAAATTTTTCAAATTTTATCCCTTATTTTTGGGTCCATGCACTGGACATCAGAATTCATTTTAGATGTATGGTTTCTTCAGCAAAGTATTTTATTTTGATCCCTAGTATGCGAAAATCATATGTGCCTAAGCATACAAATCAACCTTCATATATAAATGAAGAATAGTTTTCATCTTTCAATGTAATATATCCTAAATAAGCAAATAAATTTGATATTGCATTTTTAATACATAGTTACTTATATTTGTGTACTATATTCCCTATGTATACACGATACATTTTGTATTCAAAATTCATAATAATCATTAAACTTTGTACAATATATTACTTAAATTAATAAAATATTATTTGTTTATAGAACTTGGATTTGTCTAAAATAAAAATTAAAATAAAACAAAATGCTTTTATCAATATTTCGAAACTATGCAGGTTTCATTCTTAGGGCATATTTAAAAAATTAACAAATATGATTTTTATATTATAAATAAACAAAATGTTTGTATGTATTAATTTAGCATTTTTTATATGATAAATACAAAACCAAAGAGTTATTTACATTCAAGATCATAGAGAAGCAACAAAAGTATAACAAGACTAAACTTTATTTTATAAAAAAAGTATTAATTGTTCTGAAAAATATTATTACTATTCAAATAATATTTTGTAATACAATTTTATATATGCTTCTGTTATCTATATTTTATGTTTATTATGATATTAAAATGAACAAATATGATTTTTATCTTATAAATAAACGAAAGGATTGTATATAATATTTTATATAGGATTTTTTTTATTTGATAAATACAAAAAACAACAGTTATTTACATTCAAGAGAATTGAGAAGCAACTGAAGTATAATGCTAAACATTTTTTTATGAAAAGAAGTTATTATCGTTTTAAAAAATATTAAACTATTCTGAGAATATTCTGTAATATACTTTTGTATATATTTCTAATATATATATATATATATATATATATATATATATATATATATACATATATATATATATATATATATATATATACTTTATTTTTATTATGATAATAACATATTTTTATAAAAAAAGTTCAGTGTAATACTTTAACTGTTTTTCCTATTGTCCGCAGTTAATTTCATTTTTGATCAATTAAAAAGAACTATTTTAAATTTCTTGAAAAAATACATTCATTTCTTATTACATAAATAGAAACACGTTCTTAACAGATATTCTAGGGATGAAACGAACATAGTTTCGAAACGTAGACAATACATTATATTAAAAACTTAAAAATTATATTGGATATTAAAATTTGTTATTTTTACGCTTAGTAAAAACATTTTCACAACACAATAATAAGATAATTTAAGATCAGGAAAATTGAGTTTTTTGTTGATAATGAAGAAATAAAAAAATATAAAGAAATAAATTAGCACGAATATATAAATTATTGCTACTATCTACATCATTATTATATATATTATATATACTATATAATATTGTTATATATTATATAGCAATAATTTAAACATGAAACGCAAGTTTGGCTGCAAAAGAGCGAGGCGAAAATACTGATTCATCCAAATTAAACGATATTACCACATAATTTAATTATATTTGAATTAAAAATATCAAACGATATTAATGAAATTTATTTTATATAAAGGTAAAAAAGATGTAAAAATATTCTAATATATCAGATTTAAAAAATATATAAAATCTAGAATAATTCATATTAAAATTCTTACAAAACGTGCTAGGCGACAAAAAATAACAAAGCAAAATTGCAACATTACTCTATAATTTACCAAATCTTTGGCTATCAATAAACGCTTTTTTATGTTTACGACACACAATAACTGAAATCACATGATGGTAAAAAAAATTATCCAATTGATATAAACACTGATTCGGAAATTAACCGGCGCGAAACACAAACAATACTAATATTTATAAGAAAGAATACTATATACAAGTTTTAACAGGTGGGCGTAGGTGTGTGTGTTTGTGCGTACAAACCTGGAGACAAACTAATGATGGTCGAGAATAGAAAGTATATTTATTAAAATAGCAAACATCGATTTTGTAATATAATTTATGAACTTAGGGCTGCCCACAAGTTATTCAATCGGATCGATCATTCGATGTTCGTATAACTTCAAAATTAACTCTCTTGTATCACATTCGCAATGTAAACTAGTCGGTATTGGAATTTTGCCTTGAGGCAAGTTACATGAACTTCCCGATATGTGTAAATCGACTTAATCAATAAAAAATAAATTAACTTATGAGTGATTAAGAGTATTCCGGGCGGATTTATTACACATGATTGAAAACGAACGAACACATTAACTCGGATTATTCTCTAAAAGCAAATTTTCAAAAATAAATAATTTTTATAATTAAAGCAGTTTACGTAGGACCGTAATGGTTTAGTTTTAGTATGTTTATTGAGATCAAGTGCTCTATCGTTATACGAAGTAAATCGTCTAATTTTAACTTAAACTGACGTCAAAAAAAAACTACTCATTTTTTCAAGCTATGATGAATTTTTAATTCAGTAAGTTGTATAAGACCATGATATATATCGCAAAAAAAGTTCCATAAGAATCGGCTTAAATTTTTTTTTAACAGTTAATTACAAGAAAACGGCTCGGTAGAGTTTCACCTAAAACTAATCAGTATCATTCCCAAATAATAACTTTCGTACAGTTTTTTTAAATCGATTCGGTAGTATGAGCTTAAATGTGGGCGAAAAATTTAACACTTTTTTCAAATTACAAAGAAACGGCTTGGCCGATTGTTGCACAAAACTGACAAACAAAAATCCACATCGAGGTGCATCAAACTTCGATTTACGGCAAAAAACCTGTTCATACATTTGCTCATTCGATTCAGAATGGCTTGAAACGTCGAGAAAACATAAAATTAGCGAATCGGATTACATTCGATCAGCCTTACATTAAAACAATATGTAGACCGAATGGCTTTTATAGAGTCAAAAGTAAGTTTTTTGGTCCCATATTTAAGCCTGTCACAATCGTCCTGAAGACGTGGACTTAACTTATATTTAGGAATAATATAAAAACTACTTATTCATTACAAACAGTTTCGAGGTTTCATATGATCATTTAATTAACTTTCCGTAGGGTAGTTATAGTAATGGGCTAAAAATCGAAAATTAAATTTTTGCGTTTCTCCACCTCTTTGGCATACCTCAGAAAAAATGGAAGTGTGTGCGTGTGTGTGTTTTGTATGCCCGCATTTTTTCGTTCACAAAAAATTTTAGTTTTTGAGAGAACTAAGCATCCGATATGAATGATTCTAAAAAAATTCTGCTTGTGTTGGCAAAATAATTGCTTTTGGGAAAAAAATTATTAATATTAGACAATTTTACAGTATTTATAATAATCTATTCGAAATATTTATTATTCCTCGAACATTTCGTTACGGCACGGAAAGTTTCAGCAATTTGCCTTAAGGCACGATGCCA